AAGGACCTTGGGGAGGGCTTGGGGGTCCCCTACCTGGCTGTTTGCCTCCAGGGCATCTCCCAGTGCTTTCTGGTGCTGGTCCGCCACGTCCCTCCAGCACGGCTCGGGGGAAGGCAGGCGCTGTGGGGGCACCTGCACCGCCATGCTGCTCTCCAGCGGTGGGGCGCAGGGACCAAAGGCCACCTCCTCGCCAAGCGAGAAATCAAAGTCAGCACAGTCCAGTGGTGGTGGTGGTGGCACTGAGGCGGATGCATCTGGAGGGAACAGTCACAGGTGTTAAGACAGAGGTTTTCACGTCCTCTCTCCCCCCTGGCCCCACCACACCATCCCACGTCTGAGCATCCCTCTGGGATTTCCTGACGTGCTTTTAAACCCTGCTGCGGCAGCTAGACATCCTACACCTGTTTGGATTTAACTTTCCCATGGGGGGGAAGCTCAGTGCCAGACCAGGTCATAGAATCACAGAATGGTCCAGGCTGGAAGGGACCTCCAAAGGTCATCTAGTCCGACCTCCCCGCAGCCAGCAGGGACACCCCCAACTAGACCAGGTTGCCCAGGGCCTCATCCAGCCTCACCTTGAATATCTCCAGGGATGGGGCCTCAACCACCTCCCTGGGCAACCTGTTCCAGTGCTCCACCACCCTCACAGTAAAGAGCTTTCTCCTAATCTCCAATCTAAATCTGCTCCCCTCCAGCTTAAAGCCATTACCCCTCGTCCTGTCACTGCAGGCCTTTGTAAACAGGCTCTCCCCAGCCTTCCTGTACCCCCCTCAGGTACTGGAAGGCTGCTATTAGGTCTCCCCAGAGCCTCCTCTTCTCCAGGCTGAACAACCCCAGCTCCCTCAGCCTGTCCTCGTAGCAGAGGTGATCCAACCCCCTGATCATTTTAGTGGCCCTCCTCTGGACTCTCTCCATCAGGTCCATGTCTTTCCTATACTGAGGGCTCCAGACCTGCACACAATACTCCAGGTAAGGTCTCACCAGAGCAGAGTAAAGCAGAAGAATCACCTCTCTAAGGTGGTCCCTCTAAGGGGGTGTGCAGGGACGCACTGCCTTACAGGCCGTCCCAGGGTGGGATAGGTGTGCAACGAGTGGGCACTCAAACACCCAAAACCAAAGCAATGTCAGGGGAGACCGAAGACAGCATGGCTGCTGATGTGCACACGCAGGTGTGTTTGGCTCAGGTAAGGAAAAATATCAACTTGCCAGATATGAAATCATCGACAGCATCTCTGAACTCCTGGAAATCAAACTCCAGTCCATCCTGAAAGCAGGAACCCTGGGAGGGGTGAAGGAAATGTGCCTGTGAGCAGGGCCCAGCACTCAGACCTGCCCACGCTGCCCACTGCTGCCCGTACTGACCCCACACTCACTGTTGCCTGTGCCCAGCGCCTTCCCACAGCCCACGCACCCCCAGGCACCTGTCCCCTGTGCTGCCCTCGCCACCCATCTATCTAACACGTGGGACAGGACGCTGTCCTCCACGGTGCCCGTTTCACAGGTGGGAAGCCTCAGGCTGAGGGGGCTGCCAGCCACACATCAGCTTGAGGGAGCCACCCTGGTGGGTGCCCTGTGCCAGGGGGGGCCAAGCCTGCCACAGCCAGGGGGTTACCTGCTGCAGGGTCACGGGGCCAGCTGGGGTGGCGGGAAGGATGGGGGTACAGGCTGCCAAATCCTGCCAGTCGATGGTGGTGAGCACTGGGGACAGTGAGAGACAGCGGTGAGGAGCCCAGGGAGGGATGGGCATAGCTGGGGGGTGAGGGGACACACAGTGAAGTGGGAAGCGCAGCCAGGGAGCATCCCTGAGGGGTCCGGCCAAGGGATGCAGGGCTGGGGAGCATGGTGGGGGGCATGGAGAAAGGGGAACCACGGTGGGGGAAAACACAGGGGGAGGCAGGGAGAAGGGCACATGTGGAGGGCATGATGGAGGTGGGGGGACACAGTGGAGGGCACGGTGGAGGTGGGGGGACACAGAGGAGGGCATGGTGGAGGTGGGGGGACTCAGTGGAGGGCATGGTGGAGATGGGGGACACAGTGGAGGGTATGGTGGAGGTGGGGGGACACAGTGGAGGGTATGGTGGAGGTGGGGGGCACAGGGGGGGGTATGGGGGGGGTGTCACGGGTGGGGGGTGCAG